GGAGAACGTATCACCACCAACCTTGGAGACGGCCGGGTTCGCTGGTTTTATTCTTTTTCGTCTATCTTTCACTTTTTCCTTGTCGACATCCCCAATCCTCCACCCAAGCCCACCGAGCCACCTCTTACAACAACCGCGGCCACCTTTTCACAACCCGCCCGGCCAGATCCCCTTAGGCCGTACGCCCACCAACCTCCCACCACCCCCTCTCTTTCCTCCTTGGAAAAAGAAGTTTCCTAGATTAGAGAGGCTCACATTAATGACAATTCAAATTACAAATTTGAATTTTTGAATATAGCATTAATTACTCCTTAAATTCTCCCTCCAATTAAGCCTATAACCATAATTTAAATTTGAATAATTTAATTTAAATTTAATCAATTAATCCACTTAATGCTCCCAAGTAATGACAATTCAAATTCAAATTCAAAATTTGAATTTGAATTAGCATTAGTTACTCCTTAATTTCCTCTCCCCCTCTTCTCTCTCCAATCCAATCAATCCAAATTAATTCCCCAATTAAGCATTAATGACCTCTTAATTTGAAATCTATTTTCAAATTAAGCCCATCAATCTCCTTGGCATTATTTCATATCTATTTCCTTTTCTCCCTAATTGCTCCAGCCGAAATATTCAAAGCTCAGGCTTTAATCACTTTCCCAAAGCTGAGAGGGGAATAAGGAAAATACCTGTGCATTAATTGCTCCCCCATATTCCCGTCTCCCCTTACTGGCTGAAATTCTTCAAGGTTTTCCCACTGGATTTCCTGCACTAAACCTCTCCAAAACTCCATAAATCATGGATTTTCCTACTCCCTAATGCTGCATCCGAAATCTCAGCCATTGGCTTTGCATCCTAAGCACTTGAAGGCTCAAAAACTGCTATTTGAATAGTGGAACCTGCTGTCCTGCACCGTTGGAAGTCTAAATTTGCTGTCCAGAATTCCTATAGGCAAAATTCTTCTCTGCTATCCTCAAATTTCAGCAGGAATATTCACTGTCCTGCTTACTAGACAGCTTTTCCCTTGCTGGCCAGAAAATTCCAGCAAAGTGTTTTCTTTGCTGCCTTGCACGTTTTGAAGACTGCAACTTGCTGTCAATTTTCTCTCAGGTTTTGAATAAAAAAACCTGAAGCTAATTCCAGATTTCTAGAAGGGTATTTGGGAGCAGGAAATCCCACTCAGATTTCTGAGAGAAAAGACAATAAAATCTGAAGCATTTTCAGATTCCCTTAAGGATTTAATTCAGCTTTTTGGGAGGGCGCTTGGAGCTCGTTCTTGCCACTACTTCTCCTTCTACCCGTTCTACATCAAACAGATCCTCAACTAGCTCTCAAGGATCTTGATGCTTACCAAGTACATATAGATTAGAGTTGCTCCCTCCTGAAACCTCCAAACTTGCTAATACTCATGCATACTGATGTTTGTATTTCTCAACAAGTTATGCATGAACAGAGTCCACAATCTCCTAAAACTCCCATGTAGACTCTTCAAGAGAAGAAATCTTTGTGAGTCAAGTGAATTGACGCAATACAATAAGGATTGGTTAACAATTCAATAAATTTAGCCTTAAATTGGATGAATTTTTTTGTAGGTTAACCAAAAATAAGTTAAACAACGCTAACTATAGTTTAATTAAATCAGTTTTCAAGCCTTTCTATATGATTCATTAATCTAGGCCATATTTTTAGTATTTACTTTCTTTTTTTTTATGTTAAATGTAATTAGAATAAGCACAATTTCATCATTTAGGTAATAAGGAAATGGATAATATTAATATTAACTTGTTGCTTATTTTTGTTTATAAATAAGGATGGTTGTATAGACTTTTTAGGTTTGGTTGTATAGACTTTTGGATTGGTTGTATAGACTTTTGGATATTAGTTAATTGATTAATTGATGAATGAAATATTTTAATAAGACCATTGATTTTAAATGCTTCTTTCTCCTTTGATCCAAGTTATGCATGTGAATTGTTCCGAACTGTGTACGTGAAGTTCTTCCTCCCATCCTTCTCAAGGAGTACATGAAGAGTTCTTTCTTCTTTCAAGGTATCCTATGATTACTTTGTTACTTTCTTAAAAAATGCCTAGGCACCGTCCCAACTCCCACAAATCCCATAATGACCTCAACCAATATGCTCCTTTTATGAGAATGAAGACAAAACGAAAGTCTATTAACCCCTCCATCACTCTAACATTTATTGAGCAAGCATAAATAACTTAAATCTATCTCTCACTACCTTGTCTATAATAGGCACTACTCCTATCATCTCTATAATAATACCATTCGGTCCATTCCTTAATTTCTCCTTAGTTTTAAAATATATTCATCTTTCAGACTCTTTTTTTTTTTTCCACACTCAATGTGGTTATCAAGAATTTCTTTATTATCAAACAACATAGCCAATATAAATGTAATTTTTTAAATATATTTCTAAGACATTTTTTATTGCATGGTACTCCCAAGTCAATTCGCTATTTTAAGCACCAATCTTAGCCATAGAAGTTCTTACCTCAAGCATATCCCTATTATCATGTATAATAGATATGAAATTTATAAATCTATCATATTTAAGTATAAATTATGATTTGATCTTCAAATAATATTTCACGATAAATAATAATTACAAGAAAACTACAATTAAATATCATAGACTCAATTTTATTCTAATAATTTTAAAACATCTTAAAAATTTTACCAGCTCTAATTTTTTACTTATTTTAGTACAATCTCCCTTATTAGACCATGTAGATCGTATGCTCAAAGTTTATTCTTTATGGAAGTTAAAAGATGAAAAATTCAAGATAAGAAATATTAGAACTATGCATATCATACACATTATGTTTATTCTTCCTTGAAGTTAAAGGCTCAAATTTCCACAATAAAAAGATAATACCTCTTATTCTTCTCTCATAAGGGCAAGCACAAAGGTATTAGTGATGAAAACAAGCTGCAGCGAAGATTGTGTCAGTATAAAGACGCAAACTTGTTTTCATTGAGTTATTTGTGCATAAACAGAAGTAAATACACACACAGACTAGAGCTGCAAAAAGAGTTATTTTTTCTTTCAGATGACAGGTATGAGAACAAAGTTTGCTAAACAACGCTTGCCAAATCTAAATGCCAGCAGCTGCAGTAAAACGCAAACTGGCCCATTAAAGATTTTCGTTAAAACCTAAAGACAATCAAGCCTTGAATGCGAGATGAGAGATCAAAATAAAAGGAATATTAAAAAAATTAAGAGGGAAACCTCGCCTCTTAGATTCTGATCATATATCAAACCGTAGTCACCTAAGTCTGGCGGCGGAGGCGTTTCTTCAGCTTCCTGTACTTGTGCTTGTTCATCTTCCTCTTCCTCTTCTTTTTAACACTGTCAGCCCACACCGTTCGGTAATCGCTTTCGCTGGCGTAATCTGACTCAGCATCAGATTTCTTTTTTTCAGATTGAATATTCCCACATAGAGAAAACGGCTCTAGATTAGAGAAATGTGGAAACGACGGGTAGAACCGAAAAGGGGCTGTTTCAGCTGCATCATTGTCAAAAAAACAAGAAATGGGACCGGCAGTTGGTTCAAGGAAGAGATCAGGGTTTAATGAAAGGATTGGAGTTCTAAGAACGGTTGTGCGTGGCTGCGACTTGCTCAAGAAGGATAGGGTTTGAAGTGAAGAAGGTTGGCACTTTCGGAGGAGCTTGGGGAGAAGCGACGCCATTGATCGCGATGAGGGATATGGCTGCAAGCCTGCGAGGAAGAAGCCGATGGCCTTCTACGAGAAATTATTCTGTGCTATGTCGGACTGCAATCAGGTTGAAAAAACGAAGTCGATGACCCGATTCGGTCAGGAGGTTATAAATTTGAAAAAAATTGAAGTAGATGCGTCCATTCATTCTTGAATACTCGTGGAAGATTAAAATTGTTTAGGGTTTCGGAGTCACAGCCCTTAGATTACTACATGTGGAATCTCGACTCTCACGAGTTTTTTATCTTCAAAAATGAATAGTCGATCATGATTTTCTTCATCCTCTTTAGCTATTCAGGGTTCAGTATGGAAGATAAATTATTTTTTGGATATTATATAACTATAAATATTTAAAGCTATTTGTATATTATAGAAATTGTTCGACATGTAGAAATTGTTGAATGTATGAAATTGTATACCGTAGAACTTAAAAAAGCATCATAGTTTTTATTAAGCTGTAAATAGAAGTGCCTAGCTCAATTGTGTTCGAAAGTTATTTGGCTTGGAGGAAATACATAAATTTTATGGAGTTCAAGAAAACGAACAATAGTTTTAGGATTGAACACTGTGCGCAAGCTTGTGCACATACTGTGTACAACCTTGTGCACAGTCTCTACTATATTTTTCACACGCTCTGCACAAGCTTGTACATACATTATGTACAAGATTATACATAGTGTGAGTATAAACTTATGAACATACTGTGTGCAAATTATGCACAGTATGTGTACAAGCTTGTATACACACGGTGCATAAGCTTTTTACATGCAGTGTACAATTTGTTTATAATTTAAATTAATACATATATACATATATTGCAGATGTATATTCTAAAGGTTAGTTTTTGTTGCAAAGCCTCAACATTTAGAGCTTGTTGCGACTCCTTAACAGATATATTGCGCATTGAAGTGGAGGAAGCTTTAAGGAATTTAAATATATTTCACTTTATTGAATTCCCTCCAATTGAGTAGAATGCACCCCTAATATTTCGGTCAAGGAGTAATTTTGCACAGTAATTTTGCCCATCTTCAAGAGAATATTTTGGAACATGTTGCCGATAAAATGCAAAATCAGGCAAAGTTATGCACAAAGAGTGATGAAGCCCCTGTTGTTGATGAGGAGATAGGAATTGTTGGACATATATTGTTCGACAACAGTAAGGTTAAACTACCAGTTTAGGCAACTGCATCTAAGGTATTACTTTTAAAGTGCATGAATTTTGCACAGTCCTACTTTGCATTGCCTTACACACAAATCAAATTATCCTTAGGCATCAATTGGTGCTATAGTTAGTGCCAAGAGGAGCGATGAAGCCCCTGCTGTCAATGAAATGAAAATTGTTGAACAGATATTAGTTGACAAAAGGCTAAACTACCAATTCAGGTAGCTACACTCAAGGTATTACTTTTAAAGTGCCTGAATTTTACAATATCTTATATTACATTCTCTTATACATGAACCAAATTATCCTTAGGTGTCAACTAGTACTATAGCCAGTATTGTGGAGAAAAGAACTAATCGAGCTAAGAAGACCATAAAAACACCATACACAATAGGTGAACCGAGGAAAAAAGTAAGGTATATTTAGAATAGGAGTCAAATATTAAAGAGATAAAGCTAGACACAACAGAAGTAGAGAAGACATCTACTACTGATGATGCCATGAATGCCGACACATTACTTGATGTTCTTCACCCTGTAAGCACAAGAATGGATTTTAAGGGCAGGGATCTTATTATTGAGGAGTTTATGTTTTATAAAGCACACTAACAAGTTTCAACAATGTTTCTCCTTTGTACACATATTGTGTCCAAGTTATACAAACTGTGTACATATTGATTTCCCTTGTACACATACTGTGTACTAGTTGTACATACATTGTATATATTATACATACAATGTGTACAAATTATACATACAGTGTACATATTGATTTCCCTTGTAGACACTGTGTACAACCTTATACACACACTATGTATATATTGTACACACACTCTGTACAATTTATACATGTTATACACACGTTGTGTATAGCCTTGTGCACACGTTGTGTATGTGTTATATACACAATATGCACAACATTATACACACACTATATACAAGTTATACGCACACTGCATACAAGTTATATACATTGTTTACATGTTGATATTCCTTGTACACAAGTTGTTATATGTTGAACACACATTGTGTACAAGTTATACACACACTATATATTGATTTTTCTTATACATAGTGTGTGTACAACATATGTACACCAATTCTTTAACCCTCTTTTATTTTTGTTATAGGCAAGACAATATATTCATTGCTGGGAATATTACAGTTTCTAGAGGAGAAATTGATGAACTTAGAGACGCACATGTGGATGTTGTTTCCTTCCTGTTAGTAAAAAGGAATAAACTTTCTCAAGGCCTATGCTAACCCTTCTTATATATATCTTCTTTGTATTATGTAAGCTTTCCCAAACCTTTTCCTTTCAAGGTTTATGTCAGAACTACACAAAAGCAAATTATAAAGACATAAGCAATCTATATATTCTACATGTTAACCAACATTATGTCCAAGAAGCCAAACTAATATTGCTAGCACTGTGTAACAATAAACATTGGACTCTTCTTGTGGGAGTCCGTAAGGAAAAGGCTTGGCTTTTCTTCGATTATTTTCCCAAGGCCATGCATGTGACAATCCTTCATGATGTCGTGAGTGTGACCAAATTTACTTTACAATTTTTCAAAAATAATTCTTTTAAATAGGATTGTTTTGGACAAAAATTAATATGATTTCATTATTTTGTATAGGTAGCAAAATTGCTTGAGGATGACAGCCAATCATTTGAATCAGATATTCAAATTTTTCCTATTCAAAGTGTTAGTGGTGCGCCAATGAAGTCGAATAGCATTAACTATGGCATGTTCATATGCAAGTATATGAAAGTTGTTGTCAAGGAAGAAGAAATTAACTGGGTTGAATATAAGGATTGACCTGAAAAAATGTCAAAATTTAGAGCAGATTTGGGGTATGCCTTATTATGTTTGAGCATTAATAAATAAATTTAATTTTGCACGCATTTATTTTTTATTATGTAGTTATTTTTTGTACTTATATCAATTTTTACAACGAATCAATTAATATAGTGAATCATCATTTTTATGAGGAACATCATTACATTTATACTTCAATAGAAGATTACAACGCATCATAATTTTTTACAATGAATCACTTAATACAATGAATCATCATTTTTATAAGGAACTATTATATTCATAAATTTTAGGCTGACATTGCTATGACTTTATGATATCCATCATCATCCTCGTGTACTCAAATGTCGGTTGACTGCTTGGTCTCTCGTATATGAATTCCTTGATGAAGCATGCAGTCAAAACTAGAGAACTAGCTCTGATTTATAGGTAAACATTATTCCGATACAGTTGCTTTGAAGACAGGATTTGAAGGTGAACATTGTTCTCTTGTAGTTTCATCTACAACAATTTTCTTATCTTTTAAAAATAAGCTGTTAAATTCTCCAAAAAACTATTCAAAATGTTGAATATGATTATATACTCTGATTTCAAATTGTAAATTCATTGTGTACACCTTATACATAGTGTGTGTACAAGGAACTTTGTGAATTTCCTATACACATTATGCACAAGTTTGTAGACACTGATAGAAAGATTGTAAACACATTGTGTACATCTTGTACTTAATGTGTGTACAAGATACTTTGTGGATTCTCTTGTGCACTCACTGTGCACAAGATTATATACTATGATTTCAAGATTGTACGCACACTGTGTACACTTTATATATAGTGTGTGCACAAGGTACTTTGTGGATTCCCTTATACACACACTATGTACAAGATTTTATACTCTAATTTTAGAATTGTACACACGTTGTGTACACCTTATACATAGTGTGTATACAAGGCACTTTGTGGTTTCCCTTGGTACACACAATGCACATCACTTTATATTTTGATTTCAATATTGTACACACATCGTGCACACAATGTATGTATAAGGCACTTTATAGATTTCCTAATACACATACTATGCATAAGTTTGTAGAAACTGATAGAAAGATTGTACACAATGTGTGTACACATTAAAATAAGCATTAGATATCATCTTACTTTTTTACTTTTTCTTCCTTTCCCAATGGCCCTTTAGCCTAAGTGTATTTTAAATTTTGTAACCCACGCTTTGTATTGCTTAAGACTTGTGGTCAATTCTCTTACCAACAAGAATTAATTGGATATTTTCAGCATGTTCTTCATTGATATGAGCATGCACTATTCTGCCTCTTCATTTCCTTATTCTCGTGGGATAATTTGATATGAGAATATGCTAATATGATTTTCGAATATTATGCAATTAACTATTTCAGATGTCTTTTATGTACTTGCGAATATACGGGCAGCATATATATCTTTCCTAGCTCTTACTACCATCGCGAAAGCTGGTACTTCTCAATGATACACAATAGCTAGCTGCCTCAAAACTCACATGCAATGAGAACATAGCAAACCTATTATCTCAAATTTCTCATACCTGCATTGAATGCTATCCTCTTTTGCATTGAAATCAACAAACCAACGGATCAAGTGGTCTTTATTCTCTGTTCTCCTGACGAAGAACATTGAAGAATCGCCCGAGGCATACTCTATACTCATTCAACCCACACCATACAAAAATTCTTCCTCAAAAAATAAATAAAGTTTTTGGTGTAAAATCAAACAACTTGCTTTAATATCGGGCAGCTTTTTATTACATCATTACTGCAAACTATCTATATTTATAATATTCATCCTCCTCATTTCGGCGCCATGTGATTATAACCTTGTTTAGGCCCAAAAAAATAATCAGTTATTGAAATTTTTTGATTTGAAATGTCATGACACACAATATTAATAGACTTGCTATGCTGTGTGGATAGAATATCCATGCTAAAACAATATTTATTGAATGTTGTTGACCACTTTTTTCTTATCCTGTAATGCTCCTCCAACAACCATTGCATGAAGGCCCCCTTATGTGGTCATTTTAGTTCGTATTTTCTCATACTCGTTAGAATCACATTGCTCAAACACTTATAAAAGAATCATCTTTATAGTTATTATTGAAGAACCAAACTTTTAATGGAGCCTTCTTAGAGATGTGCCATTGGCACAGTCTATAATGTGTGTGAGATAATGCAACTCTTATAGCTCTAGTCGTTGTTCGGTCTTAATCAGTAAATATTGTTATTTGACATTTATCACCCATTATTTGTATAAATATTCTAAACAACCAAGTAAATAATTCAATTATTTTCTCTAACAAAAAAGTCACCCAAAATAGAATATTCTTCTAATAATTATTAACCCCGAAAAATGATGCATAGTGTAATTATATTTATTGAGTCTATAACTAGTATAAAAAATTATCACATCTCCAAAGCAATCAAAATCTATCCTACCCATCCCATAAACCCAAAAAAAATTCAAATTCATCAATTTAGACGTTCCTTGCAAATATAGGGTTATTAACTTGCTGATATTTAAATGGTTGAATTAAAAAATTAGTATCCCCATATTCAATATTTACTCTTTTTCTTTTTTAATGTAGTTGTATTCATCTCTCTTAATTAATCTTACATTCTCAGTACCTCCAACTTCATCGGCAAGATAGGAAAATGTATCAATGATTCTAATTTCGACCTTTGTCATTGTTTTAAGAATTGATGCTTTCTCATCACTCATGTTCCTACATAATCTTGGAAGAGTTGGTCTTCTGGCCTAGCCAAATCATAATTGTGGCTTTTTATAGATTTTGGCACATTCTCATTTCCATCTTCATCCACTAGTATCTAAACATACCTGGACAACTCATTATGGTATCTGATTTTCGATATTTCATTTGGGAATTCAAATCAGGACCTTTCTTGAAACCAAATTTTGAACATATAAGATCTTTGCATCTTATCTTTCTAGAATTGTGTGAGTGACTGATTTTCCTTGTGAACACAAAAATCAATATTAAGTGCATACCTGCAATACACCTCGCATGCCTCCTCACCATTATACACAGCCTATGTATAATGCAAAAAAATATTAAGAGGAAATCAATACAACCTATTTATACACATTGGAAATAATAAACGGTAAAGAATTACCCTGTATCCACCATGCATATAAGGTGAACAACCTTTATACACATATTGTCCATAACTTATATGCACACTATATATAACTTGTACACAGTGTGTGTACAACTTGTACACAATGTGTGTACAAGTTATACAAAATGTGTGTATAAATTGTACAAGTGTGTGTATAATCTTTTATTTTAGATGTCAATATTGTATAGAAGTTATGTAACAACCAGATCAATTAAGGGCAAGAAATCCCTACTTGTAGACATATTGTGTACACACCATGCACAAGATTATACACATAAGAGTCTACAATTTGTTCTCAATTACCTACAAACTTGTGCATAAAATACATAATGTACAAGGTGCACATATATATTAACAAATACACACCCAACTTACATGATGAATTATATTTATTTTTATTAAAAAAATTCATAATATTTACTTTTTAAACAAAAAACGATTTCAAGCTGAAAATATATATCATGTGACTACTATTTTTTAATTGAATTTGGGATATTTAATAAATCTCTTACGATATAAATTTATTTCATATTTATTTAACTCATATAGTTACCTATATACATTTTAAAAACAAAAAAAATTTAATAAACACATTCAGTTGCGTTAAAATATACATTACAAATAAACGCGTTCAGTAGAAAAGATCAAAAAAACTATTAAGCCAAACCAGCCCCACCTTGGCCACTGTAGCTTTTGCAAGTGAAAATCAAGGCGCCTAACTGAACATTCAGGCTGTTTTCCCCGTTCAATCTGACTTGTGTTCTTGGAGCATCGTAGCGAGGTTATCTGTATAAGGCCTCAATAAACCAAAGCAGATGATTCAGTTCCTCTGAGAAATATATGCCCCATTTATGTAAAAATATGTAAGAATTTCAAATTTTGGACTGTGCAAGTCTATTTATCGTTTGACATTGTGCATGAGGAGGAAAACAAACAAATTACTACACAACAACAACAACAACAACAACAACAAGAAGCCTTTGTCTCACTACGTGGGATCGGCTACATGAATCCTTTTTCGCCATTGTGTCCTATTAAAAGTTAAATTCTCATTTAAAGCTTCATTTGGGACGGCTTTCTTTTTGCTTGTTAAAATAACTTTTTAGTATACATTAAATTTTTTATATTAAAAAACTTTTTTAAGAAGCAATAAAAAAACTTTCCCAAACGAAACCTAAATCTAATAAAGAAAGATCATTTATAATATTTTCTAACCAAGTCTTTTTAGGTCTACTTCTATCTTTCTTAACATAAGTCAAATCTAATACCTAAACTTTCCTAACCGGCTCATCAGAAGGCCTCCATTTAATGTGACCAAACCATCTAAGGCGACTCTCTCTAATCTTATCTTCCACTGGAGCTACTCCAATCTTTTCACGTATATGCTCATTTCGTATCCTATCTCTAAGGGTAAAGCCACTTATCCACCTAAGCATCCTCATCTCTGTAACACTCAACTTTATAAGCAAGCAAATTACACAAATTTAAAAAAAAAAAAGGGAAGACCTTGATGCTGGTAAAATGTGCACAAATGTATTTTTAATGCTAAGCTTTAAATCTTGTAATTGACCAGCAATTCTTACAAAACAGCAATTCTGGAAAGTGGAAACCATTGATGACGATTGCAGTAAATACATATTTCATAGAGACTAGTTTTTCTTTACCTTATAGTTGAAAGCCTAATATAAGTTGAAAGTCTAAGTTCTCAACCAACAGGCCAAGATGAGCTGTGTGTAAGTTGATGACCTGATTTAACCGCTAAATCCAATCCCTCTTTTGGACTGGAGTCTCACTGATGCAATAAAACAAGAAAACTTTAGTAAAAAAAAAAATTCAATGAATCGCCCCTAAGGCTGTAAAAGTTAGCTGCGCGGCTGCGCATTCAGCAGCCCATATAAATTCAAACATATCTGTTCAGCATAGGCATACAAAGCCATATTGAGTAATTACTTTTGATCGGGCCACAGAGATATTGATATCAATCCAGCAAGCCTAAGAACTTGGCACAGGATTTTTTATCAAGGCAGGTTGAAAATTTAGAGAAATTATTCCGTGCGGAGTCCGGACGTTAAAGAACCGTCCAGATGTGAGTTTACTCAGAGTTTGTACACATTGTGTACAAAAAAAATCAAACTGTATACAAAATTATACTCAGTGTACACACTGTGTAGACTCACATCCGGACGGTTCTTTACCGTCCGGACTCCGCACGAAATAATTTCTCCAAAATTTAACTCAATCAAAGCAAAAGTTGTGCAGATGAAGGACATCTTAGGGTTTAGGAATACAAATTTAATGTGACGTGAATAAAAAAAAAAATTAGTTTGCTATATTTAATAAAATTTAGAAAAATTTAAATAAAAAGATCACATATCCTATAAATTAACTAGAATTAAATATCAATAAAGTCATAAATGCGATCGAAATTTTACACAATCCACCAAGATTCAGAATGTTGGAAATATAACAAAACAAAACCTCACATTCAATTAAAAAAAAAAAATAGAATAATGTTAACAAAATAAAAAATTGAAATACAAAGAAATCAGTAGAAAAAGGGCCATATACTAGTATAAGAAGATCATCTCTTAGAACTTCAATTTTCACATTTAATCAAGGATTCAATCCATTGAAATTTTTATTTAGGCATAGATTTTATTTTTTTGCATTCCTTAAGAATCTATCTATTTAAAAAAAAAAATTCAAGAAATAGCTACCTACCAAGTAGGCTAACCAATTTATTCTAGTGAGTAAATTGTAATATGCGCACATTCAATTGCTTAATGGAAGACATAAAAAATGTCAAAGCAGAGACACTTCAATGTTTGGTAGAATGTGACATTGCCCGTTGGTCACGCATACATGATGGTGGATATCAGTATGGTACTATGACTACTAATGCGTCAAAGTCCTTCAATGGCATCTTCAAACGTGCTCATGGTTTACCAATTCAAGAACTAATTATAATATTATGGGGATTTTTATGAGACGTCTTAATCAAGCTACTCAAAAACAAAAAAGAAGTCGTGATGAGGACATCAGCAGGAGATTTCAGCAAGTCTATCACAGGCGACATCGCAGATCGACGGCCATGATCCGGAGCATCTATTTTTGAGTCATTTTATATTATTTCATTAGTAATATTTTGTTTATTTTAGTTTTGACCATTGTACCCTTTCATGGGAGCTTAGTTAGTTGTGGCCTAAAGGGCACTTTTGTCTTTGAGTTCTTCTACTTTGGAGGCCTATATATTGACGCCTTAGACTTGTATTGAGGATGATTGCTAGATAATAAAATTTCAGCCTTGTCTTCTAGTTCTCTTAGTGAGTGCTTGAGTGGAGAGACCTTAGAAAGGGGAGAGCAATACCCACCAGCCACCAGTGGATTTCAGGCTCGTGGTTTTTTCATTCGTGGAGTGTATTTTCATTCCTTCCTTTATTCCTGACCATCGACAAACCCTAACCTAGCCTCTAGCCGTCGACCACCCCCCTATTTCCCTCCTT